TGGCCTGTGTATCCAGGGAATACATGTGAATCTGTCCACAGTATCTGCATCTAATTTTACTGGCCCATAAGATTATTCCTGAGGACAAATTAATGTATTATTTTATTGCAACTGTAATGCTTTAGCACCTGATGGGGAGTGTCTCTTTACATTGGCTTTGTTTTTCAGTATTGCTTTAGTGTGTCTGCATTAATACAATTTCATTTTTAATTTCAGCCTTTTCTCTGTACTTATTTCCTCTCTATAAAACTGGAGTTATATTTTCATATATTTCAAACAAATTCAGGTAATTCTACATATTACTTAGAGTCCTTTTTCCTCCTGATCCTTTTCCCAATTTCATCTTATGTGCTTGCAAGGCTGCTAATCACTCTCTTGAATTTCATCATAGTTTATATGTTCCATATTTTAAAAAAACAATTTCTTATTGGCAGCTATTTAGATTGTTTCCAATTTTTCACGATTATAAATTATGCTGCAAAGAAAAGCATTGCACATGCATCTTTTTAATCATCTGTGATTGATTCCTTAGGACAAATTGCTAGAAATAAAACTCCTTCATCAAAGTATGTGCTATTTTTGAAGTGTTCTCCTGTGCTGCCTAATTGCCCTCCAGGCAGTTTGCACTAAGTTATACTCTCATTGCAGGAATTTGAGAGTGCCCATTTCCTTTTCCTTGTAGTCTATGAAACTGAGAATAATTATTATTTCAATTGTTATAAAAGCTTCTACATAGATGGGAAAATCACGTAGGGGACTAGCAGAGTTATTACTAGTAGGTATTGAACACCTTAAGAATATTTATTGGCCATTTTCAAATTTATGTGTGCAATCATTTCCTTTATTCAACTTTTTTCTAGATGTTCAAATTTTTCTAATTTACTTTTTCCCTTTTTGAGATTATAAATAAAAGAGTTTTCCCCTCCATTTCTTTCCTTCGGGTATTTCCATATACCCCTTCCTGCTCTAAAGGACACACACACACACACATACACACACACACACACACACACACACACACACACACACACACACACACACACACACACACAGAGGGGGGGGCAGGGATTGAGTTGCTTGAGATATCACAGTGAATCAGTGATGTGGACACAGTGGGTTTCATCATGATGAAGTTTCAGGATTCCCAGCCCTCCTCTCCTGAACAACAGTTCTTTCTCTCTTTCCCATGTTGAGTTATGCTAGTTTCCATGTATGATCTAATGCTGCATCGAAGAGAAAACTATGCTCACTTCAGCAGTATTATTACAGAACAAAACAAAATGCTGTCCATAGGGGGAAACACAAAATAGGCAACCAGGTAAAACAGGGTTTCATCCCTGAAACTGCCTGAGGAGGCAGGTGGACAAGAATAGAGGACTAGGGATTCTTGAGTACGGAAAGGTAGGCGACAGTAAGGATTCCCTAATCTGAAGAGGCCAGCAGGGCATGAGCCGAGAAGCCAGAGTGTTTGCGGCTCTGCCAGTGAAAGTGTCATTGCAGCTGGGCTCAGTGCTGGTGAAAGAAGATACTCCACAGTGCACTGGGAGCTGGGTGAACTCGCAGTTTGGCAAGGGGCTCATTCTGCTGTGGGATGTTCTGTGTGTTAAATGTGTTGCTCTGATTGGTTAATAAATAAAACACTGATTGGCCAGTAGCCAGGCAGGAAGTATAGGCGGGACAAGCAGAGAAGAGAATTCTGGGAACAGGAAGTCTGGGTCAGAGAAACACTGCCAGCCACTGCCAGCCACTGCCATGACAAGCGAGATGTAAGGTACTGGTAAGCCACGAGCCACGTGGCAACATATAGATTAATAGAAATGGGTTAATTTAAGATGTAAGAACTAGATAACAAGAAGCCTGCTGCGGCCATACAGTTTGTAAGCAATATAAGTCTCTCTGTGTTTACGTGTTTGGGTCTGAGCGGCTGCAGGACTGGCGGGTGAGAGAGATTTGTCCCGACTGTGGGCCAGGCAGGACCAGAAAAACTCTAACTACATCATTCCTTGCAAGATGAAGATCTACTCGATAGCGCTGGGTCAGAAAGCCAGAGTGTTGTTCCTCAATTATCATCTTCAGCCCTTTTCTCTCTGAGTTGATGGATAGCTTCTCTGGCTTACTTGTTCCCTTTGTGTGGTACAGTTCCATATGCACACTTTCAGAAGCTAAACTTTTTATCCCCTTCTTGATGCTTTAGGGTAATTTCTTTTATGCGCGCTCTACTTTCTTAATTCAGCTTCTGGGAGTCTAATTCCATATTCCTTGTCCATTGTGCAGCCTTAAATTTTGCCAACTGTACCTTTTTATTTCCGTTTGATCTATCTCTCCCTCAGATCCCTTCCTCTTCACGATTATCTGATGGTTTCAAGCATATTACCCTCCGCAGGAAGGTGCAGAATCTGCTCTTTGGGATTTGTCATGTTTCCTTTTGTTTCTTTTAAGGAAAATCTATACAGAATTCTGTATTGATTTTCCCAACATGTTCTTTTATTTCACTCCTAGCCATTTTAAATGTATATTTCTGGAGAAAAAGTCTGTGCTTTCAAAAATGAACCCAAAGTGTTCTTCTCCAGATTGATTTTTGATAGGGGAGGGCTTAGATTTAATGCAAATGTCATTTTTCTGCTCCAACTCTTCATTTTAGTGAGGCTCTTCTGTGTCTCGGGTCCTGTTCCACAGAGTGGGAGAAGCAGGCAGTCTAACCACTTCCACCTAAGCTGTCAGAATGTGATTAGAAGCGTGGTTGCCAGCTCGAGAGACCCACATCTGTGTGTCCAGGTTGACTACCTTCACAACTGCCCATGCACCAGACATGCTGCTTAGAGTCCTTTACTTGCGCTCCATTAGTTGCCTTCTACTGAGTCTCTTCTATTTCTTCCTCTAGGAAGGCATTTTTTTTTGCCCCTGTCAGTTATTGCTTCATGCCCATTTGCAGCAGGAATTTACTGGGTTTCCTTACATAATGGCTATATAAGAAGGGAAGATATGGCTGTTTCTTTTATATTTTACTTCCTTGAGGGTATCCTAGAGAGTAGGAAATAGAATTATGCCTATTTTACTATCTTACTTGATAATTTTTAAATCATAGCCCATCTATTTATTTGGGTTTATAAATTTCTATATAGAAAGAGTAGTAGATGATGTGAATGAGAGTTATTAGATACATGTGAAATGACCAAGACTGTGAGGAATTTTAGATACTACATGCCTTTGTATGTCTTGTGAGGCTGAGATAGCCTTTCCAGTCTTCTGAGGAACCATGTCCTCCTTTATTTTACTGTTTTGAGTGGTGCATCCTTCTTGCATGTGGCATGTGCCTCTGAAGAACAGAAATAGATTTGGCAACCTACTTAAAGTTAGAAGTACGGGTAAAGTGTGTTGAACTTTAGAAGCAACTCTCTATCCAGTGGTTTGTACATATTGTCTCTTTTGGATGCTACTCTTCTGATGGTATATACAGCACATATATTATTATAGATAATGATTTTAAAACTTTTTTCTTTCCAAATAGATCTTCTGAGTCTCTTAATGTGAGCAACAAGTATTCATCATCACTTCTGACAGATGAAACATACTTTTCATTGGATTTCCCATAATTTATTTATTCCCATATTTCATTTTATTGATAGGCAGTGCCTTCAGTTATTGATGATTATAATATAACTTAAATAATAAATTTCTTTCTATATCTAGGCATAATTTTTCCATTGGCCACTTCTGTTAGTAACCTTTTCTTTTTTATAAAAATACTCAAAGCAATTACTTTAAGAAGAAAATCTTTATCTAGGTTCACAGTTCTGGAAGTTTAGAAATAAATTTTGTACAGTACATCTGGCCCATGGTTAACTCAAAGCCACCTAACCTGGATGTACAGATGTGGTCCTGGAGCTGGGAAGTGGCACTTCCAGTCACAGTTCATTCTGATGACTGTATGCATGAGTGGTTAGAGACCATGCTTCTTCTGCTTCATGGGATCACACCCAAGAGATGGGAAGAGTGAAGAGTTACATTACAGTGAATAGTCAGAGCAGAAAATTACATTTACAATAAATCTAAGTCTTTAGGATTGAGTGCTTCTGGGCCTCTGGTGAGTGTGATACATAATGATGGGAGGGAGCGTGGAGGAGGAAAATGTGCTCCCCACATGACTGGGAAAAAAAGAAAAAAGACAAAAGCAAAAGCAAAGAAGGGATCAGCATCACCCTTGAGGGGAAGTCATCTTGTTGAGAGTCTGACTTGAATAGCACCATGAGCCAGGGACTATCCTTTAACACTTGAACCTTTGGGGTATGCTTGACCAGAACACCGCTTTAGGACATAGGACTCTCAGAATGAAATTAGGTCTTCATGGTTTTAAACACAAACAAACAACAAGTTTGTATGTTCCCAGTGAGCTTTAACTTTAAATGTAGGTGTAGATACTGTCTCCAGACTGGTTTACTCTAGGATGACTGTGCAGAAGTTCTTCACTCTTGTTCTCTCTTGTAGTCATGCTGGAGGGATACCTTTGGCAAATATAGAAAACTCAACCACATACATGTGACGTCATGTTGGGGCAAAATTGCTTAAGCATGTGAGAATGAGAATAAGGGCATCAGGATGTGGAATCTGTGCTTCAATCATATGTGAAGGAAAAACCAGGATTCTACTTAGTTGGATTTTCATACAACTGAATTTGTTAATTTACAATATCTTATTCTAGGTATGCAATATATAACACCCAATGTTATACAGATAGCATATGCCTCTTGTTTTCCTAGGAAGCAGCGTTGTCTAGTAATTAAGGAGTATGTGATCACAAATTTCTCAGAAGCTCTGTAGTTTCTTTTAGAAAGAGGACCAGGCTTCACATTGCAATCTCTAAGGAACTCAGGATCTTGCTCAGGGAAACTCTTCCACCAAATGCAATTGAAAGAGTCAGAGCACCATCCATAGTGTGGGGGCACTAGCTTTGCAAGATGAATTGCTAAATGGTCTTATTAATAAAAACCTGGAGCCAGATATTGGGGTGAAAACTGAGAGACCAGAAAGGCAGAAAGAAGCCAGCCATATTCTTAGCACTTGGGAATCCTCAGCCAGAGAGATCTACTTCCTATATACCTTTCTGTTCTGCATCTCACTTCCTCTCTCAGCCCAGCTACATCAATTCCTGTCTTTCCGTACAGACCTCCAGACCTCTATGGTTAGTGCTGGCATTAAAGGTGTGTGTCACCATGCCTAGCTCTGTTCCCAGTGCGGCCTTGAACTCACAGAGATCCAAATGGATCTCTGCCTCCTGAATGCTAGGATTAAAGGTGTGTGCTACCATTGCCTGATTTCTATGTTTACTATAGTGGCTGGCTTTTTCCTCTGATTCTCAGATAAGCTTTATTAGGGTGCACAATACATTGGAGGACACAATATATCACTACATTTCCCCTTTTTGTCTAAAATTAAAAGTTAAAAAATTATAACTGATATAAGAAAAACTATACACAATAAGTACAATAACTATATACAATATATACAAGAAATAAATACATCAACAATGTCTAGTTCACTTTCATTTGACAAATTCAGAGCAAATATTCCATTATCTATCCTATTTTTGTGAATTCAAAGGATTGTATCTAATTTATCTTCTAATTTGCATAACCAAAACGATCTTTTGAAGTCTTTCAAACTTAAACACTTTACACCTCTTTAGTGAGTTTCTTTTCTGAATTTCTTAACAAGGAAAACTATAACTGTCTAATCTTCAATTTCTTAGAGACCTGAGAAGGAAATAATATTACCTGAGTAAGGAGGGAGTGCAAACATGTGACTTCCAAAAAATTTGAGTTATGACAGAAATAGCCGGCTGCCTGGACAGTCCCCTGAGGTTTCTCTGCAACGTTGGAGCATCATCTTCGGCCTACAGGCTTAGCATATCTGACAGACTCATCTGTGAAGCAGGAGTTTCTAAAGAGCCTTCTTATCTTGTTTTGGCAAGGATCAGCAGTCCTTTGTTTTGTGTCCTGCTTGTCCATTTTGGACAGTATACTGTCAGCAGTCCATTTGAAGCTACTTTCTTGCCCAGTGGCTAACTTTTGCCACAATGAAAGTAAACTCCATATGGTATTTCTTCAGTGCCCATTGTCTTCTCTGAAGCAGATTGGTGCTGCCAGGAGCAGACATGTCTCACTGTCATAAAAGCTACCAAGTGAGTTCCAGGAGAGGTGCAAAGCTACACAGAGAAACCCTGTCTCGAAAAACCAAAAAAAAAAAAAAAAAAAAAGAAAAAAATCTATGTTATTAAAACAGCTTAAATGCCATATTCTGAAGATCTCCAAAGTGTCTGAAGATGACCTGTCCATCTAAAATATATCTCTACTTGACCTTGAAAACACACCTAATATGACTACAAATTTGATTGTTATGACTAACTGCTAACTTACATTTTCTTTTTATCCTAAATAGTTGGTAATAACTTTCAAGGATTAGCAAATTGCATTACATTGTTAAATGAACTGTATAGGTACAATACCTTGAACAAGATTAGAAATATATGAACAATATATCTAACAAAATCAATCTCAAATTTGTATCAGTATACAAAATTTGTATACGATATACAAAAATCCAATCCAATATAAAATATTTAAAAGTATTATTTGCCTTCTAAAATTAGATTCAATAATCTACCTTTTTATCTTATCACATCCATATTCTCTCTTTTTTATTTTCAGAGTAGATTCAATAATCTACCCTTTATTTTTTCATTTCTATATCATTTTTTTCCCAGAGTAGATGCAATAATCTACTTCTTATATATATATTTTTTTTTTCAAACAAGAACCTTAAATCTAATCTCCTTTGTTTAGCCTTTTTCTGGCCATTAACAATAACAACTTGTAACCATCCATCCTAAACAATGACAGTTATCCAAAATTCATTGAAAAACCAAAAGCCACTCACCCCACCTTTTGGGAATGTGGGCCTTGTGTTCTTAAAATTACTTCCTACTGTATGGGGCCAAAGGCATCTTTAGGGGATCCTGAAAAGAATTTTTGAGATAATTGTCAAGTCCTGGGAGAGGTAGCTGTATCATTTGTTGTCCAGTCTCTGCACAATACAAAAATGCAGGGCTTGCCTCAAGTCCTTGCTCCAGTAGTTTGTGAGGCTGAGTCATCTCAGCTAGCCATCTCCAAATTGTCCTGAGCAGTTTATAGTCCAAAGCTGATCTTTGGGTAGTATTTGTCAGCTTAATGGTATTATCATCATCCTGATGGAATCATCGTTGTGGGGCCCCATTATCTTTTTATAGACTTCAAATTTGCTGTTAGGCATGGTCATGATTCCCTGCATAAAACTGATAGAGACTCAAACATGAAAACATCTACAGACAACTAGATGAAGCCTTTTTTCTAGAATTAGTTAGTACTCTACATGACCACCAATATCATGACAAAAGTTAAAATATATATATTAATCTTATAAGTTTTGATATAAAATTCATACCTTAAGAAAGTTTTAAAGAATCAAAATAGAACCAAACAATTATAAGATTAGTGGCAACAGAATAATGCCTTAATTTTTTGGTTCTATTTTTTTGCTTGTTAAAATTGTATAATTTCCTCCTAAGTACTGTGCAGGTTTTGCTATCTACTGCATAAGCAACCCTTTCTGACTTCCCCACAGGGTATCCCCAAGACTGCTCAGAGTACAGTTATGTCAGGTGAAATCAATTAGTGCTAATTAGCAGACATTCATTTTTTTAACCCACCTGATCAAATGAGATGAGTTGTTTAAAGGTATGAGAACTGTGGTGAGGAGCCCTTTGTCAGAGTTCTGGAGAGTAGTAATCTAATTAGTGAGCCTGCTTTGGCTGCCACAGTTAGAGAAGACCCAACCTTTCCTTGGTGATAATTTTCCACCTTATTATTTCACAGAACTCATTCTCATCTGGTTCCATTAACTGTATGCTTACTTTGTTGTGTCTGATTCTGTTTAAGGTTTTATCGTTTGCTAGGTGAAGGGGTCAAGTGATTTTGGCCTGTTAGTTTTTTTCCCCCACTGGGTAAAGAGGATGGAAGAGGGAGTTCAGAAAGATGTCTGAAATTGGAGAGCAGGGAGATATTTGGCTCTAGGAAATGTCACTTAAAGTGCCACTGCATCAGGCTCTAGATGAGCTCCTAAGTCTCTACTGTGAGCTAATGCAAACATGTGAGATTCTGAATGAATTCTGTTTTTTTTCTGAGATGCAGATATTTAATGATGAAGTTTATTAATTGGTTGATTTAATACACTAAATAGAAATTTTATGTCAAAAATTCAAAGGTCTGGCCGGGCAGTGGTGGCGCACGCCTTTAATCCCAGCACTCGAGAGGCAGAGCCAGGTGGATCTCTGTGAGTTCGAGGCCAGCCTGGTCTCCAAAGCGAGTTCCAAGAAAGGCGCAAAGCTACACAGAGAAACCTTGTCTCGAAAATCAAAAAAAAAAAAAAAATTTCAAAGATCAATCACATTTTCTGTTAAATAAAGAGAATAGTAAAGCTTTAAAAATTTTAAATGAAACCATTTTTGTACTAATGTTGGGTCTGGGCTCTTGGATCTCTCAGAGAGAACATCTTTTATCTGTTCATTGGAAAAAGTAAGAATTTATGCAAATGAGGACAAATTCTTGAATAATTTACCCATTCTTTTTACTTTTCCACATGATATATCCATCCTAACAGCTTGGAAAAACCATATTTTTTTTATATAACTACATGTACAAAAATATCTGAGGAATCAAGAATACCCTGAAGTTCATCCATCAACTGCACCATGAGTACCCTGGTTGTAGGTGAGTAAGGACTCTCAGAGTGGACAGTAGCTACTGTGTTTATTTGCTTCAGTTCAGGGTGACCAGCAGATGTATATTAGCTGTGGGATTCATTCATTTCATTCTTCCCCAGCTCTGCATATTGGTAATATCTACCAGCACCTTTTCTCCTCTACTAAAAATCTGTTTAAGGGTCTCTTGGACATCCTATGGCTGCTATAATGATCATTTATGGCTCCAACTAATTCACTCCTAATTTTTCCCTTTCTAACTATTTTGCAACACAGATGCCAACTGTAGATTAGAATTTCTTGAGGTCTAAGCCCCTGGTATCAGCTAATATTCATATGGTTCTTATTTGATAAATAAAAGATTTTTTTGGTTCATAGAGATTTAGGAGTACCTTATTCAGAACCATTGGTGAAATGCTTGCAAGACTGTTTGTTTATGGGGCAGCTTACTGCTCTCTTAATTGGATTTGAGACCTTCTCCACAGGAGGGACTCATGCCTGATTCCATAAACAGTAAAAACCTTTTGTTAAGGATATTATAGGCTATAGGGAGAACCTATTGATATTGTTTTCTAAACAGTCATGTTATCAAACTACTTTCTAAATCTCCATGTTTTGTCTATGCATTTGTGTTACTCTCTACTTTAGTTAGATAAGGTTCTTATTTAGGTGGATAGTAGTAACTTATGTAGAGATTTGTGACTATTCAAAGTGCTGAGAATACACAACTGTGAATGTACAACTATAGATGTGTTATGCTTATCAACTAATTTTTGCCACATCTCCCAAGGCTCAATGACTGTCATTGGAAGAGGGGCTGGACAGAATGTAAGAGCTGAAAGATGGGGTGAAGAACTATGAAATGCTGTCTTCTAGATATGACATGGCTGATGCACATATGACTCCACAGCAGTTGTGGTGACCTACACAAGACCTGCACAGGATAAAGCCAGTTAAAAATTGCAGCATGATGTTGGAGGGGCTCATGTGGCTCCAGTCAGGAGCTGAGAAACTATTGGCAGTTGATGTCTATACTGGCAGAAACAAAGTCACTTGTGTGATGACAATACCTCAGTGGATGACCCTACACTTGTGTACTCATGGACAGCACTAATTGGATCCAGTGAGTCAAAATTAAATGAGTAAAAAGTATAGAAAAGAGGACATAAAGTTAAGAGGGAGATAGATGTGTTGGGAGGGTACTCCTGGGGATTGGAGGGTGGATGATGATCAAGATACATTGTATACTTATGCAAAAATTTCAAAGAATAAATAACAATTATTATTTTTAAAGAAATCAGAAAAGACAGAAGACATAAAAACAGCAGGAAGATAATGTTATCAAAAAAGCTTCATATCTTTCACTTTAACTATATCAATAATCAGATTAAACATCAACAATCCAAATATACCAATTTAGAAGCAGTTATAAGAGTATATAAAACAAACAAAAAAGTCACTTATATTTTATCTATAGAAAACACACTATAAATATAATGGCTTAAAATAAACCAAATGTAGATGGCTAGGGAAAGCTATAACTAATAAGAGAAAAAGAGTACAGGTATATTGGTTTCAGTCAGAATAGATAACAGAGCAAGAAAAATAATTAGGGATATATACTTTGCATAGTTACAAAAGACTTAATTCTCATCAAAGACATAGGAACCTGTCTGATGATGGATCATCAAAATACAGCAGGAAAAAGTGACAGGAGTTCTTGGAGAAACTAGTGAATCCACTGTTACAGTTGTAGACTTAGCACCCCCATCTTTGTAGTTGGCAAAGCCAAAGGCAGACAACCAGAAAGGACGAAGTTAAACTAAATGGAAACATCAACCAGTGGGATCTGATTGATACTTAACTAACAAAATACACATTTTTCTCAAGCTTGCCTTGGGCATTTACCTTGCATGACTATATTATGAGCCAGAAAACATTCCTAAACTAATGTAAAAGATGAGAAATCATACAAAATGTACTCACAGACTCTAGAAGTACAAAGCTAGACAAGACTACTAAAAGGATAAATTAGTAAAATCTCTAAATCCCGGAAGAGTATATTTCTAAATAAATTTGGTTAAAAGAGGAATTTTCACAAGAAACTAAGGAATGTTTTGAACTCAATGTGAATGGAAGTAAACTGTCCTTCCCACAAGACGTCCTGTCAGGTAATGGTCAAAATGACATGGAAATAACTAACATAACTTCTCACTCCTATGAGGCTAGCATAGCCTTCATATCCAAACCAACAAAAAACATTGCAAGAAAGAAATGCTGTAGCTCAGTATCTCTTACAAATATAAGTGTAAAAGTCTTTGAAAAAGTACTAATATATTGAATGCAGTACTGTGTATAATGAAATGTATATTATGATCACATGGAATTTTTCCATCCATGCAACTCTGATTCATAGTTTGAAAATCAATGATTGTCATACCTCATATCAATAGCCCAGGAAAGAAAAACTGTATTGATTTATTAGTATTCATTTTGTGTGTGTGTGTGTGACAGAGAGAGAGAGAGAGAGAGAGAGAGAGAGAGAGAGAGAGAGAGAGAGATGGGGTCAGAGTGTGGAGGTCAGAGACAAATTTGTGGAGAGTTCTCTCCTTGAGTTTTACACAGGTTTCAGAGGTTGAACTCCAGCTCCTCAGTCAGTACATTCACCTGCTGAGCCAACTTGCTAGGCATGAAAAACAATATTTTCAGATAGGTAAATCCCGAGAAGTACATTTCATAAAGTCTAGTACCCATTCATAGAAAAATACAAAAACTAAGCTCTGAGAAAAGTGGAATCCAGGGGATGAGTCTTAACAAGGAGCAGTTACAAATATCTTGAAAGAAATGTCTTACTTATGTGGAGAAACTGTATGATTCTTTCCTAAGTTTGAGAGTGATGCTGCATGCTGTCACAACTCCTACTCAACACCATGCTGGATCTTATTTAATACAATCAGAGAGGGAAGGGCAGAAAAAGGTAAACTGATTGGTGAATAAGAAATAAAACTGATTTGTGAATGATTGAATTTGGGACTTAAAAGTAAGTAAGTTAATTTTAAAAATAAAGTTTGATTACAGTGAAATTTCCAGTTTCAAAATATTAACAAACTTATACTCATTTAAAAATATTTTGAAAAGTTCATATATATGTGTAGTACATTTGATCATATTCATCCTCTGTTTCCCTCTCTTTCTCCCTCTCACTTGCTCTGAATTGCTTCATCTTCCCAACATGTCCTCCTCCTTTCATGTCTGGGCACAACCTTGTTGAAAAACACATACTCATTTTTATTCATTTCTTCTCTCTCTTTTACATCCCAGCCTCAGTTTCCCCTCCCTCCTCTCCTCCTAGCCTCCCCCCCACTGTTTGCTGCCCCCCCCATCGACTTCTCCATTTCTATTCAGAAAACAGGGGGCCTCCCATGGATGTCGACAAACATAATATGGCATATCAAGTTGCAGTAAGACTAAGCACCTTGCCTTGTACTAAGACTGTACATGGCAACCCAATATGAGGAGTAGGGTCCAAAAAGCCAGTAAGGGAGTCAGAGACAGTCACTGCTCCCACTGTCAGGAGTCCCACAAGAAGACCAAGGTATACAACTGTCACATATATGCAGAGGGCCTACATCAGTCCCATGCAGGTTCCCTGGTTGTTGGTTCAGTCTCTATGAGTTCCTATGAGACCAGGTTAGTTGATTCTGTAGGTTTTCTTGTGCTGTCCTTGCCCCTCTGGCTCCTACAATCCTTCCTTTCTTCAGCAGGATTCCCCAAGCTCAGACAAATGTTTTTTCCCATTTCTGTCTTTATATGATACTAACATTTCCTTCCAAAATTTATAGAAGCTACTTTTGACTATTTCCTCAAAAATCATTAGGATGCTACTTGGTATGTATATAAGTGTGTGTGTGTGTGTGTGTGTGTGTGTGTGTGTGTGTGTGTGTGTGTGTGTATTTATACATGTACATTCAATTTCCTTTAAATAAAGAGAGTGCTGTCTAATTAGTAGAGATGAACATTCAGGAGCACATCCTCTCTATAACTCCTGACACTTGCAAAATGCTTAAAATCTGATAGTCAAACAATTTTGGCATTACTTAAGTGCCAAATTTAGACTGTTAAAATTGAATATAGCAGGAACTAATTTGAATCTCTTTGAATAGGAAAAGGAAGATTTGAGGGGAACACAGAGGAAAACAGCTGAACCACAGGAAGGGGAGTAAATGCATAATTGAAAGGCTCTGCATTCCATGATCACTGTCCTGTGAGTCCCACGTGATTCTTTGGCTCTGTAGACTTCCTGTTTATTTTCAGCTTATGTGTGGGATCAGTGATGGTTTTTTTTTTTTTTCCTGGAAATACTGGGCAGAGATGAAATAGTTCTTCCATGAGTCTTGGCTATTAGACAGAATAGAAATGCCCACTACACACAAGAATAATGCCCACCCCCCTCACCAAGAAAACAGCCCCCTGTAACACCAGTGACCACCGGAGTCATAAGCCCACCTTGCACCAATTGGGAACAGACAGAAGACATCCCAAGAGAGACAATCCCTGAGACACAAGTCAAGTTCCACAGAGAAGCTCAATGTGTCGAAAACTCTGAACCTGATGGAGTCAAGCAGACTTCTTCCAGGAGACAGAAATTCTGGGGCTCAGGGGAAGAGAACAAAGCAAAGAGGAAGATCTATCTCTGACTGCTTCAGCAGGAGCACTTGGAAGGAGGGAACAGGGACCCCAGGAGACAGGAGGGTTTGCTGGGCTGAAGACTTGGGAGGGGCTGTGGCTCCCTCCATCCTGCCACAAGCCCTTTGTGATGAGGAGGCCACAGCTGTGTGATGTGGGCCTGAGCCCTCCTGACAAGCCTCAGGCTGTACCCTTAGGACTCAGTGGCTTGAAAGCTACAGTGTGATTCAGAAGATGGAAAGTTCTCTCCTTTGGCTGAAAAGCCTTTGTGACTCCTGGATGAGCCTCAGCTGCATTTTCGTAGAAACGGATGTGATCTTTGGTGTTATGTGTGGAGTGGGGTTCTTCTTCCTACTGACACCCTTCCTGAAGACGTACCCAGTGTCACCACCACCTGGGAGTAGAAAGAATACCCCAAAGGTGAGGAGGAGGAGGAGGAGGCAGATCAAGACCAGGGAGAAAAATGCTTCTGTAAAAGGTTGCAGAGATGGCAGAAAGAATGTGGAAGATACTCAGAATGCTTCACAACCTGTGGAAATCCCCATCAATAATCCTTTACTGGACTCCACACCACATGCCTTTTGGAACTCTTATAAGAAACTATATCAGCTTCCCCTCTCTCAGCTGCTGTCTTATCTCAAGATCTTGGAGGATCTTATGCAGAGGAAATTTAGCCAGACTTTCTGGAGCATGTCCTCTGTGCTCTCTGAGTCAGTGGTGGCTACTGCCTGGGTCTCCAGGAGATCTTCCTTTGCAGCAACCAAAACTTCACCATTCTGTAATACACATGGCCCTTCCCCAGCTCTACCTCTGGGCCAAGGACCTCCACAGATTTCTCAGGCCCAGCCATTGCCCGACCAGTTTGTGACATCAAGCCTGGCAGATGTAACAGAGGTCCAGACACTAGATGACCTCCCAAGCTCTATACCAAACCAAGCACTTTCTGTATTCATAAGTAGGGTCTATGGAACAACACGTCGTGACACTGGGATGAAAGTATTGGCATCCCCCCCGACTGAAAACCGGTCCTGGCAGCAAGATCTGGAGTGGAAAGACACCATAGGCTCCAATGTCCAAAAACATCAAGCAGCCATTAGCCAGCCCACTTACAACTTGCCCAGGGACATCCCACCCGCTGAAGCTATCGGATCGGCCTCCATCCCTCCTGAGCGTTGTCAGTTCCTCCAGCACCGTGAGGAGCCACTGAGTGAATACAGCATGTCGAAGGTGAGAGAACAAGGCCCCCCCTTCAGGTTCCTCCCATCCCGGGAACTGACACAGCTGCAGGGACATTTACCAGCAAACAATCATTGCCAGTCCAAGAACAAACCTGAACTCCCGCAGCCTGCCCAGCCCTCCATCCTCGACTCCAAAAGCTGCAAGTTGAGTCAGATGATGAGGTCTGTGCCCTTGGGGATGCCCTTAAAGAAGGGTCCAGCAAAATGTAACGTACATGACCCCATCAAGAAGGGCCCCAGTTTTAGGGCCAAAGACTTGCCTTGCACTTCAAGCAGCACTCCTGGGCAGGGTCTGGGACCCAGAAACCCTGCAATGAGGACAGATCATCTGTCCCACGTGAACACCACCCAGGACCTTTCCTTCCTTGACCTAAAAACTCAAAGGAAGCTGGACTCAAACATCAAACAGCTTCGTGTGAAACACAGATGGAAATCTTATCTACAGACTCTTGTGTCAAGTGATCTCACCCAACCAGGGGTTCCAGCCTCATTCCTTCCCCAGCCTGTGTATCCCACCTCACCCTCCTCTGTTTCTAAGTCAGAGGACTGTCTGAAGACTGCCACGATCCTGGAAAAATTGCATCACCAAGATCCAGGAGGGACAAGGATAGAAACTGTATCAGCTTCCAGGCTGCAGGGTCCTCTGTTTGCGCAGTCACCTTCAGAGGTTCAGGAGATGCAAAGAGCCACTCTACCAGCTGCCAGCCAAGGGCCCCTCAAGGCCCATCCAGTTACATGGAAGAGCAACCTAATCACTGGAGCCAAAGCTTACTGTCTCCTGGCAAAAACTCAGAAGAGCAGGATCATCCGAGGGATTGGAAGAGGCAGCCTGCAACCAAGGACCAGTCCAAGAATTGTCAGGCATGAATCATGGACGATGTTTGAGAATGTGGCCACAAGACATCCCTATTGGAGTGGTACACTGGTTGATCCTGAAGAAAGGACCCCATCTTCAGTGGCCAAGCAGATCAACAGAATTTTGGAGGTGATAAAAGAGACACCTTCAGCATGGAAAGTGACCCTTGGGTCCAGCAAGATTCTCAATGGCCAAAACATCAATTTCAATCTCAGAGATTTTGAATCTGTAGAGGCCAATAGAAACCCAGGCCATTTTCAAACATGTCCACAGCATTCAAGTGGCCCAGCTCTAAAACCACAGGTGCTTGGAGAGGTTGACTTCAAATCAAACGAGCAGCCACAGTCATGGCCTGCTGGGCTCCTTCCAGACCGTCAAAGTGCTGTGTGCTCCACTACAGTCAGCTTGCCTACACAGCACTCAGTTCCCAGATTCCAGAATAGATCCAAAAATCCCAAGACTTCTCAGGGCCTAGATGATGTATTCAAGAGGAGAAATCACCACAAAAAGACTCAGAAGCTCAGTGTCCCTAAGGATAAGATTCAAGCAAGTAATCACAAAATATTTCCTCCCAGTGAAGAGAGGAAGGATTGTATGAGATCCAGAGTCAAAAGCCAGGAAGAAAATCTTGGGAGAATGGGGCTCTCCCAAGCCCGTGGCCACAATAGCTCTACCCAACCCAAGGATACAGTCATTACTGAGAGTCAGCCCTCCCCTGATATGCTGGAAAACAAACAAGCTCCTGAAAGAAGCTTTCTGAAGAAAATGGTAAGGAATATTCTACAATATCTCAACCTCAGTGCCAAAGACAAGGAGCAGGGGGATTCTCTGAAGAGTGAAAGCCACCCATCATCTACTAAACAGACTCAGGAGGTAGTCACAAAAGACAAACTCATCTACAGTTTGGCAGCCAGAGTTCAATCTCTCATGAAAGTTATGATACAGGTCGTGATGGACAGGCTGGACCTTGATATAGAGGACCCATCAAAGGCACAATGGTGTGAAGTGGAATCACTGACATCCCAACCGAGTGTCTCTTCCCACTCTTCTGAGGGTCTCCATGACACAAAGAAAAGCATAACAGTGAGAAGAATGAGCTTTGGTCCCCACACAAGTTCCAAAGGACACAACCATCCACTCAGATACAGGGGAATTGGAGACAAACAACAGTTGAGTGTTGATGCCCAGAAAGCCTATGATCAACATCAGAACAGAGTGAAGAGAGGAATGGACTTCAACCAACTCCCCACCCTCAAGGGGAAGAGCCATCCATTCCTGTACAGGAGAACTGGAGACAAGCAGCAGTCAGGTACAGCTAGCAAAACAGCCTGTGACCCAGATCAAATTAAAGTGAAGAGTGGAATGGGCTATTGTCTACATAACAACTCCAAGGGGCACAACCACCCATTCTTATACAGAGAAATTGGAAACAAACAACAGTCCAACTTTGTCCATAGAGCCTGTGACCCACCTAAAAGTACAAAGAAAGTAATAGACTATGGTCATCTCAACAGCCTCAAGGAGAACAATCATCCAGTCATGTTCAGGGGAACTGGAGACACGGAGCAGTCATATGCTGCTGCCCAGACAGCTGGTCACCCCAAATGTACCTTATCAGCACAGGCCAGGGTGCAGGTGTCTCAGGTCACCTTGACCTTTGCTCACTAGTAAGTCTTCCAAAAGCTATCCCATCCCCCAGCCATTGTTTCCCCTCATGCTTTCCTGGTAATAAACGTTGGCTTTTTTCCTGCAAAGAAAAAAAAAAAAAGAATAATGCCCAGCATGCTTATTCATGAGGGAAAATGCAATTAGATGTCACTTCAGAGCCACTAAAAGGACTGAAAGTATAAAAGCTGACAACAAGTAAAGTTGATGTGCACAACAATTGAGGCTTGAGCCCACTGTATGGTGTTGGTTGGAATATAGCACTGCTTTGAAAAACTGGTGAGCGACTTTGGTCTACAGTTTCTTATAAACTTGACTCCAAAACTAGATACTTTTTGAAAAAAAAGTGACTGCAGATGTCTACATGGAGATTTCTCTGAGCACATTTACAGAATCATTTTTTCTTTGGCATAATTGGTACAAACTGTGAACAGTGGATGTTCATTGATGAGGCCCCAGGAAACTGGTTACTTACTTCATGGGTTATTGCTCAGCAGTACAGAGAATGACTACTAACACATGCAGAACATTGACTCATCTAAGAAATGTGCTGAATGAGTGATGCTGGGGATAAAGGAATCCCTATCAGTGCATGATTATGAAACTCTGACAAGCAAAGTTAAGCTTTGATGATAAAAATCATATTGGTGGTTACAAAATCACAGGGCTGATAGAAAAAACACTGAGGACATTTTCCAAAGTGATGAAGTAGTGTTATGTATTGACTGGAGTTTATATGACAGACAATATACTTGTGAAATCCATTAAACTCATACTCATGATCTATGCATTTTATAGTAGGTAAATTAAATTTTGATAAAGATAATAAAATAGCTTATACCATGCTAAATTGCTCATGTTAAAAATGTATAATTAAAAGATAGCAATTTTATGTGTGTAAGTTTATTAATCTAACTGGCCCTCAATGTTAATATGAGATTGACTTGGAGTCTTTTGAAAATAACTGATAATGAGGAGATGAGAAGAAGAGAAAGAAGAAATCAGGGGGAATAATGAAGTTTCTAGGAAGTATGACTTGCAACTTTTTTGAGGCAAGAGGGCATGATACTATCACTTTATTATTGCTGTATGCAAGAATATGTATGTATATATACATATTAATAGATATGTCTTCATCTTGTGTGCACCTTGTAGTTTATTGTGTGTGTGTGTGTGTGTGTGTGTGTGTGTGTGTGTGTGCACATGTGCAGGCTGGCTGTGTTTATTAATGAACTGTTAACACTTGTCTGGGCACCCATGCAGTCATTACATGGTGAAGACACCAGTTTTGCCCTTCTACGTGGAAAGGGTGATTGATCTACAATTGAGCCTGAGCAATGTGTCAGTATCAATTGCTTTTACATGCACCATCATATGCATGGGTATTTTACAGTAGTCTTCTGTGAACCTGGGTCTGATTGTCTCATGTAAAAATTACTATCATTTTGAAAAAAATCATAAAACTTGTCTTCACTCAGAATATAGCCTTTTAGTGCTATATTTTGTGTAGAAGCTGGAATAAATTTACATGAGTTTTGAGCAAATCCTTCTCTGATGGTAAGATAGCCTACTGTTATAATGTGTAGGTAAATGTTGAGAATACGTTGTAGAGATGTGTGGGATTATTGAGAAAATGTAAGTAACAAATAGAGAATTAACTAGAAAATAAATTTGACATGGTTTCATGAGCTGTAGAGAAAACTTGAGAGACTGGATTCTGGGACCATGAAGAAGAGAAAATGTATATCATTTAAGCACAGTTCCATGGCCTTTGCCTGCTGTGGGTCAGTAATGATTCTCATCAGAGCCCTGAGAACAGACCCTAATCATAGGCCATGAAATGACCACTCTGGTTGCTGCTGAGGCGGATCTCTCTCCTTCTAAGATCACCCCCTCTATGGCTGAGTGAGTAGACAATAATACCTGACAGAATAGCCCCATTGGGGTGTCCGCCAAATAGGAGGAGGCCTTGTTCTGACAAGAAAGATATTCTTGTTCTGGGAGAACATTGAATCCTTTATTGCTTTCATGTAAATTTGGATTACAAATCCTGCTGGAATTTCCTAGTGAAAATAGAAATGAAATGCATGTAATGAAATAATGAAAACTCAGAAGGAATGAAACTGAAACCTGTTTTCAAGAAAGCTTATCAATGGGAACAATAGCAATAACAATAGCTGGCAATTGTGTGGGAATTACAGTGAGTCAGAGAATGGTCTAAGCACTTCAGATATGAGAAGGAGCTTAATCAGAAGATCTGCTGAGAATGGGACAAATATTTCCCTCAGTTTATGGAGTACAAAGCTGAGTCACAGAGTTTAAGGAATGTGTCCAAGGCACTGAAGGTGATAAGGTCATGTTGGCCTCAGGCATGCCCAACCTTTTAACACTACAATACTATGTTATCATCTATAAAGTTATGTTTGAGAACTGTGCAGTCAAGTTACAAGAAAGTAGCTAAAGAATTTTATAATGTGTTAAGTAAATTTATAATTGTGTGTAGGACCACATTCACAGCTATGCTCAGCCACATAACAGCAGCCTGCAGCATGCAACCTGCATGACGGCTCTACAATTTCAGCCTACCTCTTTACACCGTCTTTCTGGAATTGGCTGTATTTCCACACATTAACACACCAGCTGAAATATGTATGATTGTACATTTGCACACACAAGGATCTCTGCACATACTGTACATACATATACATGCACATACTTGTAGGATGCAGTACAGAGTTGTTAAAGACCATGAGTACCCACCGTGTGTCTGCTCTGAGTATGATCTTTGTTGGGATTAATGGCTAGGAGGCTACGAGTGCTCCACTTAAACTTCTGTACCCCAGTTTCCCGTATGGAACTGAGTAATTTGTTTTCTTGGAATTATTAAGGCACAGTAGCTGGAGGTAAATTGTCCTTCAATCATCTAGTGTGGTGATATCTGTGTCCCCCAATAAAGTTTATCTGAGGAACAGAGGAAAAAGCCAGCCACTATATTAGACATGGAAGTCAGGCAATGGTAGCACACTCCTTTAATCTGTCTGGATCTCTGTGAGTTCAAGGACACACTGGGAACAGAGCCAGGAGTGGTGGCACAGGCCTTAAATTCCAACACTAGTTAACCATAAAGGTCTGGAGGTCTGTACAGACAGACAGGAAGTGACTGAGCTGGGAAGGAAGAGGAAGTGATGTAGCTGGGCAGAGAGAGGAAATGAGTTAACAGAACAGAAAGGAATATAGGCATGGGTATACAGGACGTAGGTCTCTTTGGAAGCCGAGGGTTGGTAAGGTGAGGTTGGCTTTGGCTTGTCCTATTCCTTTGATCTTTCAGAATTTACGCCAATATCTAGCTCTGGGTTTTTTATTAATAAGACTGTTTAACTATTCGTCTTACAAACTGGTACTCTTAGTATCTTGTTATTATAATAGTTTACTAATGGTGACTATTTTTGCACTGGGTTATTGAGTATTTTTAAGCTTTCCTGTGCAAATCACCTTGCATGTTCCTTTCTCTTTGTACTTCTAGTCTCCTCCTACAGGTCTCCAATTGGGGTCTCAGATCTTACTGTTTGAGGTCCCTCTTGAATTTTCTGTTGTTACTTATTTGTAATTCATTTCTAAAGCCTGAGATCAGCAGGGAAATCTATTCCTTACCACCTTTTCTGAAGGGATGATACATATTTTGCTTTTATTTTCCCCACATGGCCTGCACAACCCAGAATCTGATTGATAAAGATGGAGGCTAGTAGAGGTGTTGTGAGAGCCTATTCAGTCAACCTCCATCTCACAGAACCCTGTGTGTCAATATCCAGCCCCACACTTTCTGGGTTTTTCTGGAATTAGAAATATTTTTAAAGTAATTTTCATGGTGGTGCCACCATGGAGAAGAGAAGAAAAGGAGAACCAGTTAAAAGACTTCTTGTGCTTAACAGTGAATTAGAATTTTCAAAGCATAGAACGGCCCTTATGGCCCTTGACTTTTTGACTTTCCTTTTTTTTTTTTTTGCAAATCTGTAGGACATTTTTCTTGATTAATGATTGATGTGAGAGGGCCCAATCCACTAGGGGCAGAACCACTACTGGGCAAAAGAGTGATCCTGGGTTGTCAATGGAATTGTGTGGAACAGGCCAGAGGGGAGAAAGACAATAAGCAGCATTCATTCCTCCATAGTCTGTGCGTCAGTTCCTGCCCTGACTTCTTGCTAAACTGAGATGTGGAAGTAGAAGTGAAATAAACCCTTTCTTCTCAAGTTGCTTTTTGTCATGGTGCTTTATCATGACTGTAAGAAACCTTCAGAGACAGCTGATCCGAGCTAGATGGAGCTTACTGACTCTGGAATGACAGCTGGGGAATGAACCTTCATGGGACTGAACTAGGCCCTCTCAATGTGACTCACAGTTGTGTGGCTTGGGAGGTTTGTGGGGCCACTGGCAGTGGGACTGGGATTTATCCCTAGTGCATGAGCTGGCTTTTTGGAGCCCATTCCATTTGGAAGGAAGTATAACTTGGTCAGCCTCCATACAGGGGGAAGGGGCTTGGTCCTGCCTCAACTTGATATGTCAGACTTTGTTGACTACCTATGGGAGGCCATACCCTCTCTGAGGAGCAGATGGGGGCACGGGGTGGGAAGAAGGTGGGGGTAAACAGGATGGGGAGAGGAAGGAGGAACTGTGGTTGGTATAAAATAAAAAAATTAATTAAGAAATAAAAATGTAAATAAATAATAAATAAAATTTAAATAAAAGAAGCCCTAACTAAGCCACTGTTCTTATGCAGTGTTTTAAAGCAATTCTTCTAATAGAGCTGCAATCTGGAATGGTATTGGGTTTGTGGGATCTCTGAACCAGCAGTTGCCTCTAAGCACTTGAGAGCCATGTTTCTGTCTCCATCTCACCATCTTGAAGTGTTTCTGAAGTACAAATATGGTTCAACTGAATATAAGGAGCAAATGATTTCTTGAAAGTCTGTTATAATCTGCTCCCTATTAAGTGCTTTCTCCCTTCAACTTCTAGAGAGTGTACATTTGTTCTTCATTCTATTAAAGTCTTCTTTACATCAGATCTAGCTATCTATTCATCCATCTCCCACCTACCTGTCATCTATCATCTATATCTATCCACCTGCCCATAAACTGCCATTTCCTATCAATCATTTCTGTATTTTCCACTAGTGTATGGTTGTCTGGAGGGGGTCAAGGACTCTTCTTTCTCCTTCTCTCCTGCTCTCTTCCACCCGCTCTCCCTCGATTCATCTTCCTCCTCTTCATTGCCATCATAATCTTCTTCTACCTCTTCTTTGTCTTCTGATTCACAGGTACTAACATGATATTTTATAGGGTGGAGCTTAACATGCTTTTTTGCTTTGGTTGCTTTAAATTGAAATCATCAAGCTCTGAGAATAACTACTTAGCCTTTCACTGTGTATAGTTGTGCTTGACTGTCCCAGCTCTCATCTCCTACACATGTATAAGTACAGTGCAAAGGCAGTATCCAAAGGATAGTTGGGAAATGATTAACTGGGGCAACATTGGTGGGGCATGGAGAGATGGGAGAACTTGCATGAAAGCATCTAGGCATGGAATTATGGTTTAGGGAGACGGAGTATCTTAGTCATGCACTGTGCATAGCCAAGTATTTAGAAATGAAGCTAAAGAAAAATAGAGTATTCTTCTTGGAGTGACTGTAGGAAAGAAAGGGGTGATAAGGCTGGTGAATTTTAGTAAGGCAGCTATGGCTTCAGGGTGAGGCTTCTAAATGTGTGATGAAAAAAAGCAAAAAAAATGCTTTTGATTGTGACCAAGAGTTGTGTGTGTGTGTGTGTGTGTGTGTGTGTGTGTGTGTGTGTGTGTGTGTGTGTGTATGTGTGTGTGTAGGCAACCAAAGTAATAGAACTTTGTCTAAGGACTTGAGAGTTTTCATTCTTTATCCTACTTCTTCATATTCACTTGGGGCATTATATGACAATACAAATCTTAAGTAGGTCTTAAGTTTAGGTATGCTGAACTGTTTTATTTACATTTTCATCAAAATACTTAGAACCTTCTGTCATAGTCCTGAAGATGAAATTTTAGTTACTTGAGTAACTGAAGTCCTATTGGTCACTCTGGCTCCTCATCAGCTCCTGGAAGAGATGAATTGCTTGGGTCCCTTCAGGTCTTTGTGACTTATGACTGGACTTCAATTTAAAAACTGTAAGCCAGTCTTTGCTTGTTTTATTTTGTACTTTATCATTCCTTTTGTAAAAGCACTTCCCTGAAGTCAGTACTGGCTTATGACCTTGTTGCTGAATCAGCATGGCTACAAGGAGGCCTGTAAAACCATGTGTCATTATTTCATAGTGATGCATTTTCACCTGTGTGTTTCATTGCAGAGATGGTGCTTACCAAAGTCAACCAGGTGGTCAGCACTGTGGGTGAAATTTGGAAGAAAGATGTGAGAGTGAATAGATGTTTAAATTTGCACTTTGGAATAGATATGGTTTTGGAAAACTTATCTGCCTTGACCAAAAACCCAAAATTAATTGAACACCAGGTTGTAAAAAATACAAAAACAAGCAATTTGATCAAATAACCTTTTTCAGAATAAAAATGGAAGGGTAAGCAACTGTGTAATTTGATAATTAGGTTACTATGGTTACTTTTTCTGCAGAACAATGGTGCTGAAGATTTTTTTTAATAATAGCTTCAGATAACAATTTTCAGGGAGAGGGAACTCATTTGCATGCAGGAGTACATTGACATCATTATTCTTATTTTATTTGATATAGGTAAAGCAAATTATTATTAGAAAAATTCTTACTGTTTTAGACTTTTTAAAAATCACATTTCTCTTTTTTAAATGCACACATAATGCATTTGATCAAATCTACTCCACTTTCTTTTACAATTTCTTTCCTGCCCCTCCCCACCCACTACTATTCCTTCTCAAACTCATGAGTTCTGTTTTAAAACTCACTGAGTTCACTTAGTATGCCTGAGTGTAGAACAATCTACTGGAGGAAGGGTAGTCTCTTAGGGGCCCACATCTACAAAGAAAAGTGGTTGGAGAAATTCACAAGCCTTCCCTCTTACATGTTGGAATTTTTGCACCCTTGATCTTGAACATACAGCCATGACTGCAGTGAGTTCACAGACAATGGCTTTAGCACAATTACAGCTAGCTAGTAAGGATGATGAAGAGACTAGTTTGGTGCCTGCTTGGATATTTCTTGGATAGTTCTCTGTATCCTTCAACACAAGTGTGTGCTGCCTTTAGCAAGAGAGCTTACCACCACATTCTGGAGAAGGAAGGACAGTGACAATACTCTATAATGTTAAGGGGGGCTGGAATTTATGGCACCCCCTTGACCAACAATTAAAAAAGAGGTAACCAATACCTGATGCTGAAAATTTTTATTTGCTAGCCTATATTGTCTGGAGAGGCTTTTTTCTCCAATATAGGACAACTCCATTTTAACTCCTTTACATTGCCCTATCATACACCAACCAATCTGAGCCTTCCTGTTCCTTGCCCTATCATACACCAACCAATCTGAGCCTTCCTGTTCCACAAGCATTTGTTGTAATCTTTTTTAATCTTGATAATTCTGAAATTTCAAATAATTAAACTTTATTTCCTTGATGACAAAAGTTGAATATCAAAATAAAATTCTCAGTCTTTGTATTTATTCCTTTGAGAACTCCCAGTGTAATGTCATGTGCATATTTTTAATTAAGTTATTTGTGTTCTTGGTATTTAGTTTTTGAGTCCTTTACATATTTTAGACACCAACCCTCTGTCAGATGTGTAGCTGGTAAAGATTTTTTTCCCACTTGGCAGACTGCCTCTTCACTCAATTGATAATGCCCTTTGCTATATAAGAGCTTTTTAGTTTCATGAAGTCTTGTTTGTCAGTTGTTGGTCTTAATATCCATGTGGGTCCTGTCTAGAAACTCCTCTCCTATGCAAATTAATTTACCATGCTTTGTGTATACTTCACTCACCTTTTTCTAGACTCAGCTTCTCTTCATAGGAGATTTTAAACACAACTCTTCATTAAATTGTGTTTTCAGTAACTCATATGCCACTCCCTTGCCTCTTCAAGTCTCTAAGTCTGGAAAATTATTCACAACATGTTTGTAAAATTCATTTGCTCTCTCCATCTACATTTCCAATGTCTCCAAATTTAACCTCACACATTGCAATATTCTCATGTTTCCTTTCTTTTTACACCAAGCAGGTAATTCTTCAATCTGCTCCCAACATGCTGTTCAAGGGCTCTCTTTCTAAACTCTGTTCTCATTGCATTGATATTCTGCAATTTTTATTTATGTTTTTTAATAATATTTTTATATTTTACACACCAACCACAGATCCCCCTCTCATGTCTCCTCCCGACCCCCCCAGCTCCTCCCTCCACAGACCCACCCCCCAATCTCCTCCTCCAAAAGGGTAAGGCCTCCCATTGGGAGTCAGCAAAGCCTGGTATATTCATTTGAGGCGGGTCCAAGCCCCTCCCCATGCATCAAGGCTGAGCAAGGCTTCCTACCATAGGTAATAGGCTCCAGAAAGCCAGCTCTTGCACCAGGGATGGATCCTGATCCCACTGCCAGGTGCCTTTCAAACAGACCAAGATACACCATTGCCTCCCATATGCAGAGGGTCTAGTCTGGTCCCATGCAGGTTCATGAGTTCCCATGATCTTGGTTCAGTTGTCTCTGTAGATTTCCCCATCATG